CGAGTTCGGCAAAGTACGCTCCTAAGACGTTCCATGGGAAGAGGATTTGCTCCTTTTCTCGTCTGAGTCGAACAGAAAGAGCTCGCGATAGTATCTTGTACCACGTCAATCGCTTCCAGTCACAGGTCCCTTCCCAGACATTGTTTCGCGTTCGCTTTCCTCCTATATACCCGCTCGACATCGGAGGCCTTTCGCCGCCCCTCATCGAACAGTTTGAACCAGACATATTGGGACAGCAGTCTCTTGAACGACGCCGAAGAAACAAAGACGGCATGACGTACTCCCTCCGAAACACCTTGACCACATTAATGCGAGGACGTGCTGACACTTCCATAACAAGGAGCCCTGATTCAGATACAGAAGAATTGGACGAAGTATACCTCCACACCGTAACGATTCAGGGTCGAGAATTCCACAAGTTCTCCATCGATAACCGGATAGCGTTTGAGCCTGTTGATGATGTACGCCTGCCGTCTTCAAAACTGTGCAAGCATTGACCATTCTTCACTGTCAGGAAGAAGCAGAACGCCTCGACCTCCAGCATCGAGTGTTCTTCAGGATCTTCGACGGCCGACTGATTTTTCCACCGATCCCTCGACTTCGCAGAGTACTAGACTGCGGTTATGGCGCTGGATCTTGGGCAGTCGATGTGGCTACCCAATATCCAGATTGTAGGGTGAATATCGTCATACTCAACGCGTTGCACACACAGAGGCTGACAAATTTCGCGTGAGCAAGGTAATCGGTCTTGACATATCTCCGCATAAGAATCCGGATGACATGCCCGAGAATCTATCTTTACAGGTGGGCGGAGTCTTCCAACAATCCAGGGATGGAGGCATAGCTGCACGCTTCGGCTTGTCAGGGCTCCTGGAAAGCGTTAGACTGACATCTCATGATCAGGTCGATGACCTCAACCGTCGATTCACCTTTCCTTCCAACCATTTCGACCTTGTTCACTCGAGTCTCCTTGCGACTGGCATCAACAGAGCCAGGTGGCCGTCCTACCTCGCAGACATCAGAAGGTGCGCTCTCTGTTAAACCAGGGTTGTCGGCCTTATGGCAAATTACAAAAGATATGGCCAAAGGCTGACTTGACCAAATTCTTTAGAGTCTTGAAGCCAGGCGGATGGGTACAGTTGATCGAAATATACTTCAATGTCCAATCGGACAACGGTTCGATAACCGAGGAACATGCTCTGAGACGATGGAGCAGACAGTTCATGAGGTCATACGAAGGAACAAAGGATCTGCGTGTAGGAACACGGTTGAACAATCTTCTTCGGGGTGGAGGTTTCGAAGATATTGACGCGAGAATGATTCCTCTTCCTCTTTCGGCGTGGTCCAATGGTGAGTCCTCACTGTCCGTTCGTTTGCGGGCCGCTGAACCGGTGTTCTAGACACTAGAATGCAACAAATTGGCATGCTTAATCGAGAGAATGTCAATAGTCTCCTTCCATCATTGGCACTGTATCCATTGACTCAGATTTCCGGCATGCCTCAGCAAGATTTCCAGGACCTCATTACTCAAGCACGACAAGAGGCGGAAACAGCGAGCCTGAAGGCGTACTTTCCCTTGTAAGTGACAGTGGATCGACCGATTATGCCTCCCTTCTCATGGTTCTGGTAGGTACGTTTGCATTGGAAGAAAGCCCGGATAAGTGCTCTGAAATTGGCGGAGGAACGAAGGTCGATGGATCGTTCTGTCTTATGTGTCAAGAACTGACGGGGCGCTCACGTTTCGGTTCACTTCGAGGTTCTCTCATTCCTGGAATTCGTAAAGTGAATCACGTTTGCCCGTTATTCGATTAGAGATCTTGGTTTATACTAGCTCTGAAACTGAATGAGACAGAAATGGGTCAGTGAAGTACCTCTCTCCCGACTTCTTTCTGAACTCTGTGACTGCGAGACAGAATATCAACCTCACTGGTGTTAGCATCTGGTTTTGTTCAACAGCATTGAGTTTGCAGCATTATGAGCTGAGAATTAACACTGAGAATCAAGCAGTGGCTCTAACTCTGCTGTTCTGTAGCATGATCAGCTTCCAGGAGAAACCGAAACATGAGTTGACACGCCCCGATAGTTCGCCATCAATATTCATTTTACCCAATACGTCAGTGAGCCCATCATTCGAGAGGACTTCCTGTGAATCTTCAGAAGAGCAGCCTGCACGACCTTCATTATGAGTACGACATGCCGCTCATTAGGCGCTGGGGTGCAATCCTCGAGAACCGAGCATCTACCATTGCAAGCTTGGTCTATTTTTTGAAAGACATATGAGATATTGAAGATTGAGCAGCCTCTCCAAGCAGATGGATTCCGATAAACAACCCATGGCAAAAGCAACGATGGATACTCAAAGGCGAGCAGTGAGTAAGGAAGAAAGAGGAGGAAGACTGAATGAAGGGGCTCGAAAGATGGACCGTCGCGGGTCCGGAACCAGAACCAAACTGACGGGACGCTGACTATTTAACCTTACCCAGGACCAGAACGCGAGCGAGAATGGAGCTTTGCATTCTAGACGACCAGATAATAACCGAACACCTCTCTCTCTGTCTTTTCTCTATAACATGCGATTGAATAGCTGAGATGCCTTTGGACTTTAAAGAATCTGTCTAAGTATAAAGTCTGGGATAACGTCATGCCAACCCCACGTCTGCTATCAACCCTCCGAGGAGATCTCCATCTGTGGTGTCCGCATTGGCAGTTTGGCGGTTCAGGGTTTTAATGCCCTCTTAGGGCCCGAGAACCCTTCAAGCTCGGAAACATGGCAGACTGAATGTGAACTGTCCAGGTACTCAACGCTCCGCGGCTGTTCTAACATATTGTCCTTTCAGCTCCGAGTCTCCGCCCCTTTTACCAACCAAGTAACATCATTGACCGTCAATAACGACGCGGAATATCTGGTTGTCACTGAACGTAGCCGGCATGAATGAGAGGCCTAGTCAACGAGCCCGAGTCATGGAGGGGGCATGGTACTGAAGCAGGGCGAGATGGATTTACCGGAATGGCAAGGATTCTTTTTTGTCAGGAGAACATCACGACGATGATCTACAGATGAAGGAGAAACAAGACAACAGTATTCAAGTGGCTTGATGGATCAACTTGCTAGTTTTATTACGATGTGACGAGTATAATGAGTCAAATTGCACCCATCTTCGCAACACTTCATAGGCACGCTGAATTGTCATACGCGCATCCAAAAACCATCCCGTTATGTACAATAATGAGATACAATGACAGCAATTATGACAAGTAAAAGAAACACATAGCCAAAATAGCTCGACTCTGAGCATGTCGAGAGTACACGTTGGTGATCGCGCGTTTGGGCGCTTATGGCGCAAATCAGGTTTGTTGGTGCCTTACTGGTGCCTGAATTACAAGGCTACAAAAATATCCCAATGGGGTAAGTGTCCGCGCTCCTGGGCGGGGAGAAAAAAAGTTGGATCCAGCTTCAATACCGATCATTATCTTTCGACAGCACGCATCTGCTGTTGATCAACGCAACTCGGCCTCAAGATGCCTTCCACATACAAGAGGGACAAGCCGTGGGATACGGACGATATCGATAAGTGGAAGGTACGTATTCTCAGGATTCATCTTGCGACATTCTATTCGATTCTAACGTGCGATCACTTAACTAGATCGAAGAATTCAAGCCCGATGACAATGTCGCCGGTAGTTTTGCGGAAGAATCGTCGTTTGCGACCCTATTCCCCAAGTATCGAGAACAATATCTGAAGGAAGCTTGGCCGGTGGTGACAAGAGCGTTGGAGAAGCATGGAATCGCCTGTACGCTTGACTTGGTGGAGGGTAGCATGACTGTGAAGACTACTCGTAAAACCTTCGACCCTGCAGCCATTCTGAAGGCTCGTGATCTGATCAAGCTGTTGTCGAGAAGCGTACCCGTTCAACAGGTGAGTTTTCGCAGTGACAGGGGCCCCCAGCCCGGCTTCATAACTGACGACCGTGGTCCAGGCCCTGAAAATCCTCGAAGACGGCGTCGCATGCGACATCATCAAGATCCGCAACCAAGTCCGCAACAAGGAGCGCTTCGTGAAGCGCCGACAGCGTCTCCTCGGTCCCTCCGGTTCCACCCTGAAAGCGCTGGAGCTGCTCACCAGCACCTACATCCTGGTCCAGGGTAATACGGTCGCGGCGATGGGTCCGTACAAGGGGCTGAAGGAGGTCCGCCGGGTGGTCAACGACTGCATGGCCAACATCCACCCGATCTACCACATCAAGGAGCTCATGATCAAGCGCGAGCTGGCCAAGGACCCCACGCTCGCCAACGAATCGTGGGACCGATTCCTGCCTAACTTCAAGAAGCGTACGCTGTCGAAGCGCCGCGTTCCCTACAAGGTCACCGACAAATCGAAGAAGGTGTACACGCCGTTCCCGCCGGCGCCGGAAAAGAGCAAGGTGGATCTGCAGATCGAGTCCGGCGAGTACTTCCTGTCCAAGGAGGCCAAGGAGCGCGCCCAGAAGGAGGAGGTTATGGAGCGGCAGCGCCAGAAGCGCGAGGAGAAGATGAAGGAGCGGGCCAAGTCGTTTGTCCCGCCCGAGGAGCTGGAGGCCGAGGAGAAGAAGAAGGAGAAGAAAGAGAAGAAGAAGCGGAAGCGCGAGGCCGAGGCGGAGCCCGACGACGGCTCCGAGAAGAAGGAAAAGAAGAAGAAAAAGAAGAGCAAGTCCAAGGACGCTTCTTCGGACGGCGAGGCATAGAGGCATTCGTACCACAACTGCCTTTGTGTTTCCTGCGACGTTCACATTCAGCTTCCGCTGTCTTTTTTCGTCTGTTTGCTCTTCGAATACAAGGCGCTTAGGCATAGCATGGGTTGGAGTTATTCTTTATTTGTTCATACTGTGTTTATACTTACCAAGGAGGGAAAAGTCACGTCGATGTTCAATTTATGTGTGTATACCAACTGACACGGGAATCCCACAGTGAGACTTGCAATCTACTTGGGCTTCAATTGAAGTTACTGGCGCCTTAATCTACATCATATGTGGACTGAACTCTCTGAAGCAAGCATCCTACCCTTCTCTCTCAGGAAAACCTCCTGCTCCTTCCGACTCTTCTCCAGATCAACCCCAAGCACCAAAATCACAAAACTCACCACACTCAAAGCAAACAGGAAATAAAACGGCGTCGACACGTTCCCCGACGGCGAGGCATCGATAATCGCACTGGAGACCAGCGGCCCAATGAACGAGGACGTCTTGCCGATGATGCTGAACAAACTGAAGAATAGGAACTCGTGGCCGCGCGGCGTGACCTCCGAGATCATGATCTGGGAGTAGCTGTACCAAGGGCAGACGAAAAGGCCGTAGAAGGCTTGGTAGAGCTGTCGTGTGCTTATTAGCAGGCGCGAGGAACTCTATCTAGGTGGCTGCGTTGGACTAAAACACTTACCCAGATCTCCCAAGCATGGTGAAACCCGAACCGCTGCGTCCAGATGCCGATCATCCCCCATCCGTCAAGCAGGATGATTCCCACTGCGATAGCGTTGAACATGGTCTTCGTACCGAGGTTGTAGCGCCGCTGGATGAACCAAAAGGCGTAAATGCCAAGTGCCTGGAGAGATCAAGGTGTTAGCGAGGGCGGAGGGCGGATCATGGGGATAGAAGACCTACCTGTGCTGCTATGCCTACGATCAGGAGATAGGTCAGTTCCAGTGTGTTGTATGCGACGATGCTATTCTGCAATGTCCCAATCACTGTGACTGTTGTGTTGAGGGAGTCGCCGAGGAGGAAATATCCTGCAGGCGGGTGCTGGTCAGCTTACCACGAGGGAAAACCTTCACAACAGCACACGACCTTACCTATCAGGTACAGCAGACTCTGCTTGAGTTTCCACACCTCCCTTCCGGCATGGTATAGCTGCTTCAATCCCGCAACGATAATGTTCCGTCCGGGGTCCTGCCCCGGCCGTCGTTTCTCAAGAACAAACCACGGCAGCGAGACGAGCAGCCACACCCCGGAGGCGAACGCAATCAGCACGCTCAGCCCCCAGTTATTATTCGCCTGGCTCTCATCCACCCTCAGCCCAAACATGATCCCCACGATGATAGCGAGGATCACAATCTCCGCCACAGACTGCACGTAGAACGCTACATTGGCCAGCTTGCTGCGCGCCATCGTGTCCGCATCGTCGTACTCCGTCCGCGAGATCCTACCCGCTGCATACGCATCTGCGCGATCCTTCATCTCGGCCGTATTCCGCGCCAGACCCGGAAACGCAGCCGTCCAGAACGTCAGCGTCGTCTGATACGCGATCAGTCCTACAATGTACAATCCCACCGCGATGTGCCATTTCTCCTGCGTGTGGACACCCAACCAGCCGAAGCCGATGGCGTAGGCGATAACTGACAAGACGATCAGGATGTTAGGCCGCCAGGTCCCGAAGTCAGCGAAGCTGCCTATCACCAGGAAGACGACGACCTGGATGGCGAAGGAGATGCCGTTGCTCAGGAGGACGATACTGTTGATCGAGCGTTGGCGGCCTGCGAAGAGGAGGGTTCCCTGGTCGCCTGCGGCTTGGTAGAGGAGGTTCTGGAAGGCTGTGGGAGCGAAGTCTACACCTTCATCAGTTTCTTTTTCGGATCGATATTCAAGATGGTAGTAACGCACTGAATAGCGAGAGCCCGTTATTCCCAATGTAGTAGCTATGCAATGTTAGCGGTTAATTAGTATGTCAGTTTGCACGCACGCATAGTAGGCCCAGATCTCCCATTTCGTCGTGCGATATCTTTCGTCAAATACATCAGGCGCTACGAGCTCTTCAGACTCCTTATTATCAACTGCGTGAGATGTCGCTTGCTGCTTGAATTCTGCATCGCAGGTTGCAGATGCTTCCACGTCGTCCAACGCTAAAGAGGACATGCTTCCGTCTATCTATACGCTCTCAGAACAGGGATATCCAGGGGAGAGTCTGCAGGCTGCAGAATGTCAATATATGTAACCCCGCGCCATTCTGCAAAATTCCAGTTGATAGCGGAAAAGCGAAAAGCCCTTATCGAGATTATGACTCGCGTAGTGGCTAACACTAACGAGATCTAAAGTGATTCTTTCCCTGTATTGGTGGGAGAATCCCGTTAGCAGTCTGTCGATCGCAGCCACGCAGTATTCTGTATGCATAGTATTGGCTGGATCTTGTCGGAGAGGCTTCCTGTAGTGGGACAAGATTCCGCCAAATTACTTGAAGCTTTCTCGGACCTCTTATTCGACATGAGACACTCGTCGCATTGAACCGTCTCCAGTGCGGTCAAGGTATCATTGTCCAAGAATATGACTAGCTATCTACTGGCAATCGTCTAGTATATATATACAATAGCTCAAACAATCACAATTTGGCCCGTCCGCTCTCTATTGAAGCCCAACTCTGCTCGTCTAGCTTCTGGTATGTGGGGCCGTTCAGCCAGTACAGCTTGTCGCCCTTGGTCTGAGTACGGGGATCCCAGCCCATTTTGGCCAATTCGCCCTTTGCCTGCTTGAATGTCACGCCAGTTGCTACCCTAGATCGAAAAGAAGGGGATATTAGTCGAAGAAGAAGTCGTTGGGTATTTAGGTAAACTCACTTCTCGGTCAGCCGAACAAGCCTCGGCATGGCATACGACGGTACGCCCTTCTTTTTCAGCGCTCGGTGCAGGTTCGCCATGAACTCAGCCTCTGCGGCGGGATCTTCGAGCGTAATACCAGCAGCGCCGGCTTGACCGTCGTATCTGAAGCAAAAGTTAGCATGAGAGAACCCCGGCCGAATGAGAGAGCATACCCGCTCAGTTTCACGCCATAGACAACAGCGTCTTGGACACCTGGGATGCGACAGATGTGGTCCCTGATTTCCCCGGCGCTTACGTTCTCGCCCTTCCAGCGAAACGTGTCTCCGACTCGGTCCTGGAATTTGACCCAGCCGGAGTCGTCCTGGACGAGAAGGTCGCCGGTGCGTTGATACAGATCGCCCTTGACGAAGACATCCCGCAGGAGCTTCTTCTCGGTAGCTTCCTCGTTATGCAGGTATTCGGTCAGCAGGGCCCGGTCCCTAACTCGACCAATGGCCTCTCCCTCCTCGCCCAGCTTGGCCTTGACACAGAACCCGGTCTTCGGGTCCCGGTACGGCATCTCGGTATCCGGGTCGTACTTGACAATGAAGACGTCCTCTTCCAAGAATCGTCGGATGGGTCCCGAGAACCCTATTTTGCCGGCACCCCATGTACCCAGGCCATGATTGTCGAACTTGGCTACGCCTTCAGTAGATCGATAGAATTCGCGGATCTCGGGGACGTTGAACCTTTGCCGGAACCGCTCCCAGATCTCTCCCCGCAATCCGTTGCCCGCCGCGACAATGCAGACGTGGTCCTGGTCGTAGGGAGATGGAGGTGTGGCCAGCAGGTATCGACAGAGTTCACCGATATACAGAATACGGGTGGCTCTAGAGTCATGAACGTCTTTCCAGAACTGGGAGGCGGAGAACTTGCGTCGCAAACATAGGGTGCCTGCATTGCCGACCGAGTAGCATATACCCGTAAAGTAGGCTGTGCCATGGAAGAGAGGAAGAGAGGAATAGGTGCGCAGCGGGTAGTATCTGGAAGGGTTTCTGACATCCGTGCTCAGGGGATTCGACGTCACCATGTTCATCATGTTGCGAATGGCACATGCTTTGGGGTTTCCTGTTGTGCCGGATGTATAGATGAGTACACAAAGATCACGGACAGATCGCTTGGCCGGGATCAAGCCGGTAGGAGAGTATTGCTGCAGGTCAGCTGCGGTAAGCAGCTCTGTTGCGCCGACGGAAACGCCATCAAATGAACCAACGTTCAGCGCAATATGAGGCAGGTCTACGCATACAAATTGCGACAGGTCTGGTGTGGAAATGATGAATTTTGACCCGGAGACATTGAGGCAGTGCATAAAGGTGTCATCTAGCTCAATGGGGTCAGTTCAATCGGTGGGGACAGGGAAATTCTCACGAAGCTCGTACCACGCAGGTTGTTATTAATCAAAGCAGCCACAGCGCCCAGTTTCGCCAGAGCGTATATGGTTACCACCATCTCAGGCGAATTTGTGTTGAATACGGCGACAAAGTCGCCTGCCTTGATATCCCTAGAGTGCAACAAAGCCGCGAAGCGATCGACAACTGAGAAAGGCAACCGAGTCAATTGTTGAACAGGAGAAAGAACAGATTTGCATCAGTAAGAGCAGACTCACGATCCTTCAATTGGCTATATGTCCATGCTTTGTTCTCAAACCAGAGTGCCTCACTGTCGCCGCATCCTTGAATTTCCACAACGCGCTCCAGCATCTTGTACAGGGTAGCTGTATCACCAAGCTCAGCAATCCGCTGACCTAACCGTTTCGTCCAGTCTCGGTCATTGCAGATAGTCGTCAAATCCGTGGAAATGGCGAGCTTTGCATTCAGATATGCCCCTGCTGCAACGGTCAGGGCCGAGGCGACCGCCAGCGAAGGGGCTGATATCTCGGGGAAAAAATCCATAAATTGTTCAGATCGAGGAAAGAGATAGTAGTAGATGTAGTTAAAAGTTCGGCGCAATTAATTTCGTTGCTATGGTACTCTCCCCGCATATATATGTTTTGCGGAGGTATCTACCCCGTAGTAGCGTCCGATTTACAGAAAATAACAGACATACGGATGGATCGATATGACCTTAATTATCAAGGCCCAGCTCCCAGGCAATTGTCCCAACTCGGCGAATCGAGACGGGAGCTGAATTATGAGAGCTCTGCCGGCCATGAGGCCCATGACGCGCTTACAGGAGACTATCTAGCTTGTGCGGAGACGGCAATCAAGGAGCGGATGAGATCCGATAGTTACAGTAAATTCAGTAATGGCTTTCTAATACGCACTACCGGGAGATCTGCCTCATACCCACATTGAGTCCTTGAGTATCTGTCCAGGCTTTATTGAGGAATACCCTACTGTGTTAGTCATTGACATACTGAGGTATTTACAGTTCTACCTCCAAGTTTCCGTGCCCAGCACTCCAGAGCCGGACCACCTATATATATATTTCTGCGGTGAATACGGAGTACTTCTACAACCGGCCCATCTACACACTCACAAACTGGATGTAAAGCTATATTTCTATCTAAAAAAGTGACTGGAGAATCTAAGACACACAATATTTCTACGGTACAGAGCCCCTCATACCTATTTAACACCTATACAGCGGGACCGCCCCCGTGGGAAAAGGCGTTGCGCGGACGGAAACTTGTGGGGACCGGCTGCTGCTTCTCCAGTCTCCAGTTCATGTTTCCTCCCCGACTCAAAGGCTCAAACGGCGTTGAATACTCAATACCGGCTCATCACTAGGTTTGAATGAGAAGCATGAATTCCACAAATAACCCTTGAGTGGCAAGTAGAAGTACGAGAGTCAAGATCTATCACTATGTCTCCCATGCTGCTTGCTATACTCCGTACGCAGGCGGATTTCTGTGAAGAATTACCTAATCCACGGGTAGATCCACCGGTACCATACCGCCCAAAGACGTATGCGGTACAAAGTCCGACAGCCGAGGCCACTGCAGGCCTTAAATGCGTACGGTAACAATACCACTGCAATACAGCCCATTGGCGGCAGTGTCAATCGGGAACCAGCCGGCCTCTCATTCTTGTCTATCTATATGGAGTCTGTCTTGAACTGAGGCTACCCCGATTTACTCAATCGGCTGCAATGCTTTTCCGTCCCCAATCCCCATATTCTCTGTATTCTTATCCCATTGGCTCTAATATTTTTTAATCTGGATCTCGGCTCGGCCTTGCGCTCGTGATCCTTCGGCTGCAGTGTCCTTTTTGCCCTTCGCAGATCAATATTGTCCTAGATACCGCGGTTCATTCGCCATCTCCGGACTATAACATAGCGCGGCCCTTCTCGCGGGGCAGTTGGTCTTTCTTCTATCTCATACACTTCTTCAAGACTCAAAAAAAAATCCTGCAACGTCCCCACAGACGCAGTGCAGCCAGAATCATGTCTACGCCCCAGCAACGGTTGTCCTCGATCGCTAACCAGGTCGCTGGTTCGAATGTGTCGGCCAAGAGCAAGCTGTTGGCCAAGAATCCCGATGATATTGTACGTCTGAACAGGACTTGCAAAAACTAAGACGGAGACTGACCTCGCTCAGGTGATCACGCTTGCTATTCGCACTCCTCTCACAAAGGCCAGAAAAGGTGGTCTGAAAGACACCACAGTAGATAATCTCCTAATTTCATTGCTTACAGTATGCTACCAAATCAACGTCCTCGCCAAGCATAGCCTATCCTAACAATCTGCAGTCTATCCGCGAAAAGTCCAACCTCGACCCCAACCTTGTTGAAGATGTCTGTGTCGGTAACGTGCTTGCGCCTGGTTCCGCATACCTCGCCCGCTCCGCGGTGCTTGCAGCTGGCTTCCCTGTGACGGCCGCCGCCTCCATTGCCAACCGATTCTGTTCTTCTGGATTGCTGGCGATCCAGAACGTCGCTAACCAGATCATGGCTGGTTCCATCGATATCGGTATCGCTGTCGGGGCCGAGAGCATGAGCACCAACGCCGATGGAGGGGCCCCAGAGATGTCGGCTCAGATCATGTCGCATCCTATTGCTTCCCAGAACCTCCAACCCATGGGCCAGACCTCGGAGAACGTCGCTGCCCAATTCAGCATTTCCCGAGAGCAACACGATCAGTTTGCCGCCAAGAGTTATCAGAAGGCCGAGCGCGCCCAAAAGGCCGGTTGGACTGCCGACGAGATTGTGCCCGTCAAGACTCAAGTCAAGGATCCCAAGACAGGTGAGGTAAAGGACGTCGTCGTTGATCGTGACGATGGCATTCGTTATGGCACCACTGTTGAGTCCCTCGGCAAGATTCGCTCTGCATTCCCTCAATGGAAGC